GTGCGACATTACTTTGTCTTTTGCGGTATAGCGTGCATGGCCTTGATATCTTCATTGCTATTCAACGGGTCAGAGATCCTTTCGATGTGAGTTAAGAATAACCAAATTGGTCTCACTTCACTTTTAATACTACTGCTGCAAACGACAAGCCTGATGGGACGAAAGAATATACAACACTAAGGACTAGATTTGACAACAGACGCGCACGGCAATGGATCCTCCGTTTCGTGTTTACCTCAACCCTCATTGCCTATCGACATCGCATCACTCAAACAACTGCTATACCTGAGCGGCAGATGACAAAACCTATGGACGTTGCATAGTTGACTGGAAAATTATCAGGCATGCTTAGTGTCTTCTCAGAAAAGTCCCACAGAAGCTATCACATTAATGATCACATATAGTAACCGGTAAGACGCAGTCGCAAAGTTAGTGATAGCGTTTTGAATATTTTCTATTCTAGGGGCAATGTACAAAACGTTTTCTATGTCCTGCTTCTTAAAACTTAATGTCTCACTCTTTCCCTAGTTTCTCATCGAAATTCCTCGTTTTCATATTTACTGTGAAGGCTTCATTGCTGGTCATGTTAACTTGACCTTCAGATGCTCACTTTAATATGGATATCGGTAGATGTATGAACTGTATGCCATAACAAACTCACACAAGGAGCACATTAAAAGTAAACGCAAATGTTTCCATCATTGCTTCTTTTGACAGTCTACAGGGAAGCTTAACTTGGGGAAAGCATTGTTTGTTACCTTTCCCATCCAACCAAAACTAATAGTCATAAAGTTTACCTCTAACGGTTTTGTCGTCCGTAGGTTATCCTTGTAACTATAACTCATTCAAAACTCGGACATTTTCTGTTATCATTTGGAAAGTGTCCACAACAACTTGTTGGGCTTTAGGATATAGTTGACCATAGAGACTAAGTGGCTAAAACAGCGTAGCCGCGGAAGAATACGCTTGCAGATTTTGTGATTATTATTCTACTGCTGGCGTTCAAAAACGGCCTACAAATACACCGCAATGATTATCCCATACAAGGGTTGAAACTGTAACAAACATGTTGTATGTCTATTAGCTTTCCATAACTAATCGTGGAGGGCTGGGTGGGCTAGAGATTCATGGAAGTATTAGCATTAATCAATGACTAATTAATGTTAGTTCTTTAATGTCAGTTCCTTTATTTCTGACCCCCAAACTATTACCTTAACCAACTTACATAGATTTTGAAGCGGTACATATTGTTTCGTAACAGTTTATTGTCCCACTGTCTCATAACACCAATAACGAAAGCGATTATATGATGAGGTTTGAAATCAAATAGTCTTTAAAGGGAATACATTTAGAAATCGGTTACGTAGTTCAATTTATCATGGTTTACTTCATCGTAACCCTGTGGCTCGAAATGCGCTTATCATCTCAAGCTACATACACGGCAGATGGCCAAAAATTCAATTAGAAAAATATCCTTTAAGCGTTAGTACACGAACAATAAAACAAAGCAACCGTGATGAAGTTTGTTTGTCACTTTCACAATTGTATAGACTTCGACGGTTTGTAGGCGTCGTTACATTGTCCGATGAAATTGGATCGACCTCGTTGGCAAAGTCATGTGCTGAATACTTTGAGTCGTATTCTTGGTTACTATTAACACCAGTTGAATGAAACCCCGAATTGGTAGACCATCATGTCGAAACTCACTGAAACCCTGATCAGACTTGGTGGGTCATCTTCCTGGATGGAGTCCTGGGGATCATTCACATCGATGACATGCCATTTTGTTGCCCACTTCGTGGTCGCGGAGGACAAAAATGGTTTTGCCAATTTCTTTCCTAAACTATTCACAAGCATTTCATTAGAAGAATTTTCCTCTTATTTGTCTAGCTTGAATGGCTATCAACGATAGTAGTTCGGTGACGTGTGTCAAGGTAGTTGGACCCATTGCAATCCCACATTCTTAATCACATCTTCACGCAGGGTGTACCAGCTAAACTCTTCACTGTACTAAGCATTTTCCCGACGGTAACTACAGGCTGATCGTGTTTTCGTTTAATTAACCGTCGCCAAATCCCGTTAAGATGTCCACACCCGTAACAAGGTACCGTGAATACGGTTCCGCTGGCTATGAGTTATTTGCATATTTTATTAGATCGATTACGAGGGACTATTTCTTCCAAACTACTTATCCTAAAATCACTGTATATGAGTTTTCTAGCAACAACGCCGACAACTGGTAACCTCAACTAACCGTTCTGACCCGCAGCGCAACAATATGGGGCAATGCCACACTGAGGCCTGTAAAACAAAACCTGTAGAGTTAGATACGAATAATAATTTTCAACGAAGCTTTTTTTGATCTGTAAGCACCTTCCTAGCTATTAGGTATGAATGAATCATTTTTCGTGTTTTCAGCTAATTCTCTTTATTGTCTGGTGGTACCAGTATAAAACTTTGGAGTGCTTCATGACATCCATCAGTAAGAATTCCTATAAACCGCGGCTGCCACTGAAGCATTAAGCCAGCACCTGTTTTCTCGTGATAAGTTGGACGTTAACTGTTTGCAGCCATTCATTTACACTACTGAATCGAAGCAAACGCATTCTCCGTCTCATGAGTTGTTGAGACATAAAGTGTTTTTATTTTTGTACCCCATTGATTCCGTACTTTACATTCGTACTTCTATGTTAAATATGGTTTATTTCCCAATAGAAACAGCCCAGGAGCACAGAATATTTCTCAATGCGCCTCAACATCAAATACATGCAACTTTTAAATATACCTGCGAATTCCTTCCAGAATTGCTTTGGAGCCATCTATCATGGCGATTTCACCGCACAATTTGATGAAAAACCCTTCGGCCAATCGTGGCTGCATTTAAATACGACAATTCTTTATTTATTATCCTTACTGAAATTGCCCTTCTGCCTACTCATATAATGAATGTTTTTTCCTGCATTGTAAGCCACGATTGGGTCCCTCTTCTGCAGTGACGAATGGAAGCTTCCAAGCTAATAAAGGAACCCATGCTAGGCATAATGCCATAGACTTCCTGACAAGTAATAAAAGAGCATGACACGCAAAATATCGAATGATAGGAAGGGCCCTAAAATAAGTACAATAACTGACGGCTAGCCTGCTTTAAAATCAGGCCGGCACACGGTCAGATGAGACAAGGAAGTGTGGTCGAAAACTTTAGTGGGATTACACTGCTTGGAAGCCGGTCCCCTCGAAACCACTCCACGGTTGGCCGTACTAGTTTATGAGAATATTTGGAGTTATCTGCATTTATTATTATTATTACCATTATGATTATAATTGTTATTATTTTCAATCTCACCACCTGTTTGAAAAGTTCAGTCGATCATAAAGCCCCGCAAAAAGGGGTTTGGAACTGCTCTTAAAAACAACTCGAAGAAATATTATCCATCCAATACGATTCCGTAGTACATACTAATCAGACCAATCAGTTCGACTGTGCCTCGCACCGTCGAGGAACATGCCCTTTGTTTATTTAGTTACTGTGTACTGAATATGGTCAACTAAATAAATCAAACTGTAATGCTTACACTGATTTTGGCCACTCAGGGATCCGAAGTTAGGCGTCAGCAACAGACAAGTTTTAATGGCGAATCTTTAGTACGTTGCTTGTCAGTGGAAGAATGCTTAACTCGGTAACTCAGTTTGGTCACATTGATTAAGAGTATAGAGGAACCGGCATTTTATGATCTATCTTCTGGGGGACTGCTGACTTATTAGAGTAAGTTGACTGATCCATGGATCAAAAGCCATAGTTTGTAGGTAGAACGCTGCAGGTAAAGTGGATAAAGTGCACGCAAGCATGAAAACGGGTACAACATTACAATAAACATCAGATAAGGATTTGATTGATTTGTTCTCGATTACCATGGCATGTTATGAAGTATTCTTTTTTATTATGCTGTTTGAAAGGCACAATCGGGATGTGCATCCGAAAGTGGTCTCCTTTTGTGACGCAAGATGTGGAAAGTCGGTAAGTGGGATCTGAATTTTCCATTCTCCAAGATTTATCTGACTCGATCTGAACCTTCCTTCTCCAATAACGGTGACCATGAACTTATCTCTCGTTTCAGTTTAAGTAAGAAGTCTGTAAAATTTGTAGCACTCTGGTCCCTACATCAACTTTAGTGTTACTAGTGATAGGTTTGACCCAATAGTTATTCTTCACAGATCTGCTAGCTTTAGTTCTTCCATCGAACTTACGTTCAGGCGATCCTGATTCACATATTTTGTTCCGGATGGCAGAATGACATAGTGATAATAACCCAACAAATCTATAATAAATGGTAGACATGATCTGATGAACACTTGAAAATAAGCCTTGTGGATTGGCGAAAGATTATCGCCGTGTCTTTGTTCTGTAACCAGTTTTATGTCATCAAGTTGTAGCAAAACGTCACGATAACTTAGACAAATAAGTTATCGCCCAGTTTTGTAGGGCGTAGAGGTTGCAAACTGATGTTTTCGGTTCATCAGACTTGTCAGCCACCCAGTTTTGATGCAAGTAAAACATGATTACTTTTCCTACTGAACGGAATACCGAATTAGACTGCTGTCAGCCAGGCATATTGGTTTAAAATACTTGATGCAAGATCTTCAGTGTCTGGTAACTTTCATTATCCCAATGGAATTGTTTCAAATTCAAAACATGTTAATGGAGGAACTTTCGTAACGTACTAGTTACGGTTAAAAGCTTATCATTTGTGGACTTCCTTAAATCATAAGAGCTTAATTGTTTTTGAAAGTACTTATATCAGATGTCCTCTGCTTGTTTTTAATTCCTTTCCTATTTAGGTAACAACGTCAAATATAAGCATTCTGCATCGTAGCTGGTGGATTAGTGTTATACCTGGCGTCTAGCGGCAAATCTACTCCTCAAACGACAAGCGATAAGCTGCGCGCATACATGGACCATGATGCAGTTTGATCAACGACTGTCATCAGACGCTAAAACTCACCAAATTAGCATTGTACTGGAGATTGTTAGTGCCAGCAGTAAAGGGGCCCAAGCCAAGCTGAGGTGATAACACGCGACGGACATTACTGAAACAAGTTACGGCAGGAGACAGAATAATGCGCTTGCGTAGGTACCTGTAGAAAATAGAATGAACTTAATTCATGAAGTTAAACAAAGGGTTACAACGTGTTGACATGCACTAGGCTGCTCATGTTCGCGAAATACTACAGGTCTTATAAAGTAAAACGGTTTTTCCACACGTTGCTTGCAACGGAACTCTGACTTCGCCAAAACCACAACAATAGTACGCTCGTTTTTTCCTTGCTCACTTAGCTAAATCAGAAGCAGAAATTTGCATTTAACATCAATAGTTCTGGAACTTGGGTGTTTCCCGTCCAAAATCACTACCCACTGCAACACGTAATTTCCATCTCCTTCTGCTACGGTCCTAGTGATCGCAGTGTCCAAGTTCACTTCAAACTGAATGGCCGTCTACTTGTAGATTGGGCATCCTAATCTAATCACACAAAGCGCAGTAATAAATTGACCGTCCAGTCAATAGTTCTGGTCTAATTCGACCGAACTGTCATCCAGATACGGTAAAATATTCTGACCATTTGGTCTAAAGAGAAATGTACTTAACAGAAGTGCTTAGCACGAATATGTGTTACCAAGACAGAAAACTTAATAACCATTTGTATCAGCGAATACATTTTGAAGAGCTAACAGTGGTATCAGTTAAATTTGAAAAGTCTTTTAGATGTTTTAGTGATTAACAGCACACTGACAAATGTCCTTCCTGCCGTTTCCATGGGCTTGGAAAGCACAGTGAACGATTAAGTTGATGGCATCCAAATGCAGTTGTGGTCTAGCAAATTAGTTCTGCTGAGGAATACATGAGGAAACGGATGTGTGATCCTCATTTACCAGGTAAGCGGTAGTTGAAATGTGTAGCAAAAACTTTAAATGGGAATATTCATGTACGACTTAACATGAAAGTGTACACTGGCTTTCGATCACTCTGGAACTTATCCAGTAGGCTAGAAAGGGGCATTTCACTCAAGTGGACCTATTAGTTGAACTCTTTCGCATTTACACCTATACAAGTCTGAGATCAGTTCGATCTTACTAGTGTAGTGTACACGGATTTATGACCCCCAGCTGTGCTTAAATGCACTAAGACTTTGTTGGATAAGTAGTTACACACAAAGCTGGCCTGGTTCAGTAAAACAATGGATAGTAGCGCCTAGCTTTGGTACTTGACTCACAGATTCTAAAGATGACAGGGAGACATGCGTGAGGTAGACGAAATTGATTAGATGAGTAAAATGAGCATGAAAGGTAGACAAGTGCTATCAGCTGATTACTGTTGCGAGTGGTAACAAAAAGCATGAGGTGTTGATATCTGATAAGGCGACACTATCCGTCATGTGCTTTAGGATTTGTCATCTGGATACATAAATAGAAGCACAATGATGGATGTTGACAAGAGAGCGGTTGGCTCAATGGGATATGGGCAAGAGGAAAGGAAAGCCAGTTGATCTACTGCAGGACTTGATTCAATGCTGACCACAAGGATAGTGAAGATTTTTAAAATGCAAACTAAGCATAATGAATCAAACTGCTTATTTTAGAGACCAATTTGTATAAAATATATTGAAGAGTAGACAATAACAGATTACTATGGACTAGAACACATTGTATTAATTCCGCAGCTTCTGGATATGAAGGGTCAGATTCATTGGTAAACGGGACTTGTGAGTCCGTAGTGTTCGAATGTGACAGACGGTATTGTTAGGCTTATGCGTGTGTATTTCCAAGCAAGAAAAGCTATCCATTCGTGTTACAACTGTTCAACTTACAGATAATAAAACTGCTCAAAACTACAATAATGTATACAACTGGGTTATATGTAACCAGTGACACATACCTAACCCTTTGACATTGTTGAAAACGGGTCACAATTTATTTTACTTTATTCCGTTATCAATCTGGCACTTACTTTAGGATTAAAACTAGTAATGCGACATTTCAGGATTTGAAGTCGCCTTGAGTTTAACCATTACCACAGTGTTGTATCCATACAACAAGTTCTAACAAACATGATATTGCGGTCCAGGCACTGTAAACGCTAATTGCTGTGAAAATCAAATCACTTCATTGCAACTTCACTTTCTTTCTTTCTTTTCCTTCGAGAGGCCGCAGAATGAGGAGCCAAAACGGCAGAGCTGAACGGCAGTGTTGAAGCGCGGCTTGATGACACAGGCTTTCCAACTAACATCCACAAGAGAACGCAAGAATTCCTCCTTTTAACTCTTCTGCACTCACAAGCTACTACACTGACCAGGGGCTCTTTTGCTCGAATCCTTTTCTAAAGGGTTTTGCTCAGTCACAACCTGCTGTGGCACCTTCCAATCATTTTTTCAGCGAAAGTAGCAATATACTCCCTGCTTCAACCGTTTGTAGCCTGTGCCCAAACACAGTTTGAAACCCCAAAGCTAGTAAAACAGCCTACACTAACTTCTTCATATTTCACAACCGCCTCAATATTTCTGATTAACATTTGTCCACTCCATCCTGACGTCCACACTCTGTTCACTTGCTTTTATGGATAATCCTAGAATCATATTTACAAACGTATGGTGGTGTAATGAATACATGTCTTACAAACAAGTAATCATTTTCGGATGCGACAAGTTTTTGAGAAAGCAGCCTTGTCCTCGAGATGGAGGCTGTATAATTTATCGGAAAAACTTGCTCACAGTAGCAAAGTTCGGAAACCCAGTGCTGAACGAGCTCCAGAAAGGCATGTGACTTAAGATATCCGTTGTTCAGCAACAGCTACTTGTGGGATGTATATACAGCACAACAAACTGCAGCCAAGAGGATCTGGAACTTTTGGCACTTGAATTTGAATGCGCCGCTGGTCAATCGCTTATACATAGGATTACCAGTGGTGATTGCAACCCGCCATCGATTATATGGTCCATGGGAACCGCACCTTTAAAATTCCAAAACCTTATATCCCGTATTGAAATGAATGGCTGGCGATAATACGTCAGCTAAGCTACCATAGACGAAATTTATTTGGATCCCATTTGTTCTTTGAGTATACCTGCTGTTAATATTGACGTTCTTCATGAATTCTTGATAAGGATCATCGGGTAGCCAAACAACGTCTAAGACAACGCATAGACGATGTACAACACCCAAAAGATTATCGTCTTGCATTTCCTTCAACTAGAACTCGTTCAAAAACCTGGTTTGTTCGACGAGTTGGGAAAACGTCTTCCATCTTAAAGTCCTAAATTTGGCTTCTGCATCGATTCAGCAGTACCTTTAAAACGTGCCCACCAAATTAAACATAAACCTGCTCGCAAAGTGCTAGAGGATGTAAGCCCGGAATTCTGGATGACTGCAGACTTTGCGCTATTATTCTAGTAGTGCGTGATAATCCAACAAATGGGGCATAAACATGACACAACTCCTTCTAGAATGTTCTTGGTAAAATCAGTGTACTATCCAAGCTATCTTATTCCCTGGATTCGCATCGCAAGAATTTCGTTAATGTCACCATGGTTTCAGATAGAACATACTTCCATGCATTAGGTGACAATTATAAAGTGGCTAGCATTTATTTTGCCAAATCAATGGTTGATGAATTAAAGGAAACACCCGCGCTTAGCACACTGCACAGTGGTAAATGTCTATGCACAGTGGAACTCAATATTGGGGAAGCGCTGAACAAGTCTCTCGCTTATGCTCCACGACTTACGCAGAACACGGTGGAATCCCACCCTTTTTAATAAAAATTGGTTGTAGCGACCTGCTTCTGCTTTTGTTCAACCTGATTATCCTCTAGTTTGACAATGGAGTATATCTTGCTCAATAGAAAATTTCTGCTTTGGTCAAGCAACACAAAATATACAGCTGCTTATGAGGGCAAATATTTGCCTCACCAATCACACACCCATCGCAACTATAAAAGAATAGTGAAAGGAACTACTTAATTTCTTGAACAAGCTCAACCTCATCAGCAAGTCGCAGCATAGTTTTAAGTAGGGTAGATCGTGCGCAACATTCTAGCCTGACTTCTTAAACTACACAACGGTAGCCACAGACAACGGAAAAAGTGTTATAATCTTGTTCCTTGACCTCCAAAATGCCATTGATAGAGTGCCTTTTGGAAAGGTACTTAACACATTGGCGACAATAAGCATTGGAGAGCCAATCTTCTCTTGGCCGTCTTTATATTTATTTAGTAGGCAGCAGGCGGAGCGAATCATCGACTATTCCTCTAAGCTGAAAACTGTCACCAGTGGAGTAATTCAAGGTGGTATTCTTGATCCACTTCTTTTTCTCATATATGTTAACGATGTATTCAAGAGCATTATATTTGGTGTTACGTTGATGTTTCCTGCCGACAGTAAAGGTGTCTACTCACAAAACGTTGTATGTAACCAGGCAGCCGTACGTCACATTCAAATTGACCTATGTGCGCTTGAGTCCTGGTGCTAACTGCGGCGGATATAAATGGCCGTGGACAAGTGCAACATTTTGTCGTAGAAATACTAAGTATCGCCAGACAGCTTATTAATACAAGCCACATCTATCTTGCAATCCATAGTAGTTAACGATTTGGGAGTATGATGTTCTGTTACCATGAAAATTTCCTAACCTTTTCGTCCAAATTTTTTGAGGTCGTGAATACTATCGGATACATATGGCATCATTTTATCCCATGGAATCTTGCATCTGACTTTATAAACATATGTATTGCAGTATATAGACTATTGCTCATTGGTCCCATCGAACCCGCAGAAATCTGACCAGCATGATCTAGAGAGGGTCCAGCGAAACTTCACAGGATATACAGTTGATCCTCAACTACGACCTACGGAGAACGTTGTGATAAGCTGGAGTTGATGCAGCCTGGCTTTAGAGACTGATACTGAACCTATGTTTTATTTACAGCAGCCCAAAACCATCAAATACACAGTTCTAATGACGGCGTTCACACCTTTTTAAACAATATATACCCGATCCGAAACAAAAGGATTGAGGTCACGGTTCCAAGAGTTACTGCAAGAATCAGCGTCTCGGCTCCTTGGTTGGGGTCCAAAGGACGATGAACACGTTTGGTTGGACACACTTGCTGATATGGCTAGGAGCCGACCTCAAAGGCGTTCAGGCTGTGAGCTTCTTTGTCCCACCCCATCCCTCTTAGCCTCCCCCTCCAACCACGATCTCATTATTTAGCCTTATTTAATTTTGCATAATATTTTTTTTATTTTTGGGTGCACAGCAGCCGGCTGGTAGCTTACCGGAACGATGCCCATCCGTTACCAGTAGCTCAGCCAGCTTGCACTAGTTGCTTTTTTTCTCCTTTTTCTATGTATTGCGGCACAGTAGCTAACGTGTATGATGATGATGACGCAAGGATCAGCGCACATTTATTTCTAGTCAACTACCCAAAGAATCAGAGCACACTTCCATGAGATATTAGATCATGCTATCCACTGTTAAGCTTGCGATTAATGCGCAGTTAACCGTCCAAAACGTGATGGTTATATTAGGAACTTCGCGGTCCCTTACTGACGCTTTCGAGAACGTTATCGATGAGGCCTGACAAAGTTAAGGAGAACCCATACATATAACTCTTTAGACCATAATCATGTTAATTGGATACATAGTTTTGCTGGCAAACGGCTCCTTACGGCCACAGGATAATGAAGTATCAACACAAATTACTGGAGTATCGTAGGTGCATTTCCTACATGAATCAGTAAATCCGTGAATATGCCTCTTTTAATTTAGTTCTTGTTGTTCAAATGCCAAAGGCCCATTTTTGACTGTTTGCGGATCGCGTCCACTTGCTTATAAGGTCAGTCTTTCAGCAAGAGAGATTTCATGACCTTAGGTGCAAAACCTTATGAAACTATTTATTAGACTACAATTGTAAAGGTAACCATCTAGCTATGAGCTGCAGAGCTATCATTGGGTTACAGTTACACTGACTCGGTTGTCTCGATTCTGAACATTTGTTATTGTTTATGTGCTTAGCTATAACTCCCTACTTAGAAAAGGCACCCATCCACGGTGTTAAACTAGCAAGATTTTGATTCACTACGAAAGTTAAAACATCCAGTAGAGTTGGAAGGCATTCTGTCTGTTACAGATAATATCGTAAAACTTAACCCTCATTCTGATATGGACTTGCCTCCCACCATGTTGTACCACGCAACGACTTAACCCTACGCTCTGATGCTATTA